CATCCAAAAACTTCTTCCGAATTGAATCATGCATGCCATTGTTGAGTTTACAATACGAGGGGGTTACAGCTAAGCAATCACTTTAGATTAATTACTAACAAACTTAACTTAGAGCATACCTGCATACGTTGTAGCTACGATCGAAAGCTGAAAAAAAAACTTTTTAACACCCATGAAAAATCTACAAAGCGAACGCCTACCGCTAGGAGAGCGTACATGCTTAGTGTGACACTAGAAAAATTTTACGAAATTATAAGCGTTTGGCTTCTTTTCAGGATACAAAAGGAAGTCTGCGTCATTGTTCCGTTATGGAGCGTCACAAAGAGTCACCTGAATTTGCGATAAGGCAGCTGTATCCCCTCTATCTGCGACAAAGGCTCTGAAAGATCTAATGCGACTTCCAAAAATAATAAAGTGCAGTGGATAATTGGTTAACCAAGCACAACACCATGGTGGTTTTCCTAACTGAAGATTTTTTTAAATACGACAGTTGCTGCTCGCTCTAATGCACTCATTGCAAACCAGTGCTTCACCTCTGCTTTGCAAAGGCTCGCTTTGGCTTCTCTATCTTGTGCCTTCATCTTGCTCGCATGACGTTGGCTCTGAAACTCGCCGTGCGATGCTGACCATCATGAACGAACTTCAAACAACTACTAGCTCATTTCATGAGCTATTCCTTATAGCAGCGGTAACTTTGGGAAGAGAAAATCTTAGTGCAAAAGTTAAAAGAGAATTTTGGTTAGTTACTGAATCTATCATGATCGGGCAGTTTTCGTAAAGGACAGTCACTTCCGTCACCCACATTTCTGAGCAAAAAATCTTCACAAATAGTCAGATAAAACCGCGACAGATTGACGATATACGCAATTATTCCTTCTTACAAATGGCGCAGTTTTTGCGTAGAAATAGACTTTTTACTTGTTTTGGGCTTAAGTTCATGGGCTGGGCATTACTTGTTAAGCAAATTCACAGTTTCGCAAAAAGTACAATCACCGATCCACTTTAGGCCAAAAATCGCGTGGACCCGTTTGACTCGCAATTTTCAATCCATTCTCCGGATCGGCTTGCGCTTTTGCATTTTACCCTACATGCTGATAGGGTGCTGTGGCCAAAATTTCAGCCTAAGGTCTTGACTACTACTCGCTTCATGAATTTCGTGACAGACATACATAAAAACATACACACAGACGAGACAAACGCGCGCTTTATTATAATTTTTACAGCAAACCTTTCGTAATCTAGCGCCTACCTGCTCGTACTGATATCGCAAACGGGAAGAAAACCATGCGTCAAAAAATTGAAAGATTTTACTTCGAGGACGTCGTCTTCAAGGGCAGTGGCTCGGCAGATCTCAACCTAGTAAAATTTTCGCCTACCTGGGCCGGTAGTAATCCCCCCGACCTGGCGGCAGGTCTCGTCGGCAGGTTGCTGGCACCTTTCCGCGAGGTGGCCAGAAACTAAGAACCGAAATTTAGGCCGTCCCAGGCCTTTTTCAAAAAATTTTCTCGATAAAGTTGCCGCCTCGACTCTGTAGAAAACTTCATAAAAATCTGCGGCTCCAGAAGTCCTCCTTTAGTAAAATATCTGGAATTCCAGGAGGAGCTGCCGGCAACTTCGCGATGTCAGTTGCCGGCAACCTGCCGGCAGGCTGCCGGAATCCGCGAGATGGCAGCTGCCGGCAGGTCAGAGAGCACGGGAAATAGCGTGCTCTTTTGAGAGAGCAGCTGCCGGCATCTCGACGTGCCCCTACCACGTCGAGGTGGTGGCTGGCACCTTTGCCGACGGCGTCTGCGAGTTTGCGAATTGCGGCGATATCACACAATTTACGTCAGGCGAAAAAATCAAAAATTCTACTTTTCATGAAAAAACTATCATTTTTCTCATCATATGGGTTTTTCTTTTCTAAAATGACGATTTTCTTACAGAGAAAAAATCCACTAATGCCTTAGAATCATATAGAACACGAACTGTTTTGGCAATCCCTTATAAATCTCAGTTTGCACCGATTTCGCTCCTCTCTCGCTCATATCAATCAGCTGTTCTTTCAGGTCAAAGTCTCTCATGCAATGTATCGATCCCTTTTATAGGCAGCCATTCACCAGTGCGTTCCTCCTACTGCTGGTGCAAAAAGCAATGGCTGACCGAATGGTCGAATGGTTAACGTGGTGGCACTTCAAGCTAACGCACATAGGTTCGACCGCGCGCAAGGTAGCATTTTGCGGCTGTCTGCCTCATCAAAAGTTAATATGCGAAATGATTGCGTGCCAAGGTTACATAGGATTATTGAAACCTACAATCACTCCGCGAGCTGCCGGCGGAGTTGGCATCTTTCCGCGATGTGTGCCAACTTGCCGGCATCTATGATGCCACCAGGTAGGGTAGATTACTATCGGCCCTGGGGTTATTCAATACGCTGATTCCGAAAATACATTTTTGAGAGCTTGAAAACAACAAAAACGAGCGTTTGTCAATGCCCTTCTTTTTGGAATTGGACAAGTGGAGCAAGGCTGATAACGATGAATCGTTGCAGGACCCAGTGGTTTAGCATTGCGGCGGGCAACCTCCAATGGTGAGAAGGAATTTGCCAACTTGTGCGGATGCGCCTAAGATTGGCCTGCGTTGTAAGTTTGAGAGCGATTTTCTCGGCAGGGAAAGCATGCTGTGCAACCGAGATTGCACTGTTTTGCTTGGGCGATAAGGAACCCACCGCGTTGAAATGCTGAGTTATTGAGTTTTGCCGACCCACTGCCTTTAAGAGCTTACAGCTCCCTCAACTTTGTTCCTATGGCTGCTAATCAGCTTATTTTGTAGAAGCAGACCAGTAGTATACCACTGCATAGAAAAGACTTCAAGAAGACGTTCTGCGAAAAGAATAAACAAAGATTTAAAAATGTTCACTTTTTTGAGCCTATTTGTTGTAGGATTTTAAGTGCCAAATTATGACAATTTGCAATTCTTCGCGTACTGAATCGCTAGTTTCTCTCTAAATATTGTATTTGGGGTGTGTTATTCTTAAGCTTACAGAAATGAGCGAAGCTTTGGCGATTGCCTTATTTTCCTTATTTTCCCTGCATTTCCTTGTCCATCACCTTTTAGTTTTTTATTAACTATGAGAAATTTCTTACCCTTAGAAGGGCAGCAACAACCTATTTGTAGGCGTTAATTTGTCTGTCCAGGTATTTCCAAAAATCTATCTAAGCGCGCAGTAGGTAAACAATTTTCATTGAATATGATTGCTATGTTTTCAGAAGAATTCATTTATTCGCTCCTGAATTGTGGTCAAGAAAGTGAAAGCTATGAGATTTCGATTTTGTGTGCGAATGTGCAAAATGCTGCTGAAATTCCCAGAGATAAGGATAGCAGCTCAATTCTACCACTATTAGAAAGTACATGAAGAGCGCTTTCCAACGCAGATATTTATTCTAAATCGAAAAAGAAAGTTTGATGGAAAGAGTTGATTGGAATATAGGCCTAGAAAAACGGACATTGTTTTCGCAACAATCTAATATTTATTGTTTGGAAGGAGCGACTATCTAAAAGGAGTATTGAGCCTTTTGTACAGATTTGTCAACTACTCTGCAGCGCATGTTCAAAAACGTTTCAAAAACACTTGTTTAAGTGGTGACTGTGCTTCTCCCTTAATCGAAATAACTCTGTGATTGAGCGGCTGTCTTTAGAACGAGCTTTATTCAATGGGGGTTGAGCAACATTTATACTTGAACGCTCATACTCTTTTCAAGTAATAGCTTGGCAGATAATCTATCTGCACATATATAAAGCCGAGTGTTGGTAAATTGTTTTTTCAAATAAAAACTTTTGTGTGAACCGATCAGCGCGAAACTATGCACCTATATGTTTCCGACACCGGTTCACCCCGTACGCTACTTTTCGAGGTGAAAATTCTACTCCTTCTATCGATCTATATTTTGAAGAAAAATGAACTCTTATCAGGTACTATACTTCCAAATTTCGTGTAAACAATAGTGGTAGAACTCATTTTCATCCCATAATGAGGAAGTCGCTGTAATCCACGGCGATGCGGTCAGCGGGACTTGTGCTTTGTTGCCAAAGCTAAAATGCAGATAATTTGAGCTTTTAGAGTTACACACCAGGTTTGGTCTTTGTTGAGCCCATTGAACCCACGTGCAGGCGAAGCTGGGCATGCCAGTTAGTACATATATAAAGCTGAGTTGGTAAATTGTTAAGTGTGTTCCTTCAAGAAGCTTTTGTGTGCGGGCCAATCAGCGCGAAACATATGTGTGCGAAACTTCGCACACATATGTTTTCGATACGGTCCACCCGTAGGCTACTTTTCGCGGCGAATCTCCCACTCCTTCTATTGATTTGTCGAATTCAAAGAAACACGATCTTTTATCAATTACTATCGAAACCACATATAACTTTCGTGTAGCTGTAGAACTCATTTGCATTCCATGGCGGGTGAGAGCGGTAATAGGAGATGCGAATAGGAAAATATTGCCCTGTGTTGCACGAGAAGTAAAAAAAGCCGAAAAGCAGTGAGTTGACCCTTAAAAGTTGTGCGACACTCTTGCTCTTTGTTGAACCAGTTGAGTTCTCGGTGTGGGCGAAGCCGACCATGCTAGCTAGTGAACATATAATTAAACTAAGCGTTTTTGAGCGATCTGATGATACACAGCTTGTTTGGAATGGCTGAGTTAGGTTCTGACCGACGGGAGAGTGATTTCTATCATGGTAGCTGAACCAAGCCGAGCCGGGTTTGCGTGCTAGCATAAAGTCTCCTATGGTAGTAGGCTGTCATGCTCTGTAGCTGACATATCTCTAATTACTTATCAAACATTAAAGTCATTTCGCTTACGCTAAATCTCACACGTAAGCATTTAGCTTCTGTTTTGTAGTGGTTTGTTCAAATGCTCACGTAATTACAAATCTTTAAACACATTTTTATTGCGAGATGTTCCGCCCTACTAGAGAACGCACAGATAGTCTGAACATGTAGAATTTCCTGGGCACTTCGTGCATGGAGTTCCTTTTTCGTAAATGTCTTGATTAATCCAGTTGCCTCTAAAAATTATACTTTTTGAGCAAGAAACTGATGACAGTTTTACTTACGCATCTCCATAGTTGCAGACGACATAACTGTAGCTCGCACAGTCCTTAATGGCGCAGCCAATTGTCTTAGTATTTTGCCATACCACCTTAATTTATATTGATGTTAGATCTAGAAATGTAATTGAAAAGCTTGGCAGCTCTACGTCACGTTTCGTTTTAGTGGAAAATCAAAATATGGCGCACCTGGGTGTAATGCCCAACACCTCGGTTCATCATCTCCTTGGTCAATCTGAGATTTTGCCCCACACCATATGCAGACAGCTCAGTGAACCATGCTTCGACTCCCTGAAAGTCCTCATTGTTTAGTCCGCAAAGAAATCGTAGTGTATATTCTTACTTTTTGGGCTGCCTTGCTTTGCTCGCTCGCAGTACTTTTGTAGGGTGGACTTCTCATGTACAAGTTTTCACCGGCGGAGTTCCTCGTTTCAGGTTTTGAATGTCCCCACTGACACTTGGTAGCGTGATTTGTTGCGTATGTTTCTAACCGGCAGTCGTACTTCTGAAATATCCGTGTCTACTAGTGAAATGCTGGGAAGAAACAGTACCAATTTCAACATTGCTGCTGCTTGAGGTGCATAACCTCCAAGACCGTCAGGAGCTTTTCCAGAGGCTGCCAACGATCTGTGTCAAACATGTTGTGAAAATAACAGTGATGTTTTATGGTGTAAAGAGTGAGCGTAGACCCACCTAAGCTTATTGTGAGTATCCAAAAACTTCTGGCGCACTTCATCAGTCATACCGCTATCGGACGGGCAAAGATTCGCGTTTTGCTTTTCGAAAACACCCGGTGTGATGATTGTAGAAGCCTTAGTCGTACCTGCCAAGTTGAACACCCTTAGTTTTATCTACTTTTGTTGGAAAAGCTAAAGTCCTCTTGATACTTGTTATTTTCGTCTTCGTTGTCGTCGTTGGCGTGGTTGTTGTTGTCGTTATTGGTTTGGTAGTTGTTGTTGTCTTTATTGGTTTGGTAGTTGTTGTTGTTTTTGCTGTTTTAGTCGTTTGCATTTTAGTGGTCGCAGGAACACTTGACCCAGTGACGCAAAGATTGTTGGAACAACTACCAGGACACTTTGTGCATGGTTTTCCTATCTCGTAGATTTGACCATAAAGCATGTTTCCTCTGAATTTCCGATTTGTCTAAAGTAGTCTAAATGTTACATGGGCATCTCAACTCACGCTTCTTTATAATTGCAGACAACGAAAGACATAGCATTGCAGTCTGCAACCGCACAACCAATAGCTTTTGTCTTCTGCCATACCATCTGAAGTGAGAGGTTACTATTGTAACTGTAGCTTGTACTTTCTTGAGAAGATAGTGTGAAGTACAAACTTGCGTGTAATGCCCAACACCTCTGTTGAATAATGCTGAGTCCAATGTTAGGTTGTTTCCCACGCCGAATTTTTCCAGCTCATTGAACCAAGCTTTTGAAGCCTATACAAACTAATTTTTGCTTCGAAAAAAGAATGTCGTTTGACTTACGTCTTCGGCGGCCTTGGCTTTACTGTAAGGAGGACTTCTCATGTAAATGTTTTCTCCGGTATTAGCTCTCGATATTTTGTCCGAATGCTTGAATTGACATTTGGCTGCATGCGCTACGGCATACCTCTCAACTTCGCAGTCGTACGTCTGCAATAAAAGTTTGTCACCACCACTTTCCTTCGTACCTGACAAACAACATTACCAGCTTAGGCATGCCCGCAGCTTGTGGTGCATAACCTCCAAGTCCGTCTTTAGCTTTTCCAGAAGCTACCAACGCTCTACAATGGTGAGTTCACTTAAATTGCAAAAGCAATAAGTAACAGTTTTTCTGATATGAGATTTACCTCAACTCGTTATGAGTGTTTAGGAATGTCTCACGCACATTATCGGTCATACCGCCACTGGACGAGCAAAGATCTGGATTTTGCTTCTCAAAACCTGTTGCAGGTGCTGCAGGAGTCTTTTCAGGTGTACCTATCGGTATGCCTTTATGTGCATTTTATTTATAAAGCTATTATCGAAGTCTTGGCGATATCATTTATACCTTTTGTTGTTGTTGCCATCGTTGTTGGTTTAGTTGGAGCATTAGTAGCTGCTGCATTAGACCCACTAACGCAAAGATTGTTGGAGCAAGCACCAGAACACTTCGAACACGGAGTTCCCGCTTCGTATATCTTATTGTAAACCTGGTTGCCGCTAAAATTCTGCTTTATTAAAGGAGCTAACTACGAGCGTTCATTTACCTTGGACTGTAATTGCAGACAACGAAGGACATGCCACCACAGTTTTGTACCGCACAACCGATAGCTTTTGTAGACTGCCATACCATCTGAAGCGAGAGATCATCAGTCAAAATCGGATCGTAGTCTATCGATTGAGCCATTACACCGATTACGAAAAGCATCGCTAGTATAGCAATAAACCAACCTGCGTGTAGTTGCCAATTCCTCTGTTAATCATTGCTAGATCCAACGTAAGGTTAGTCCCCACGCCATGTTCGAGCTCTTTGAACCACGTTCTTGAAGCCTGGACGGGCTTTTTTTTGTTTTGAAAAGAACACGTTATACAGCTTACTTCTTCGGCAGCCTTGACTTTATCGACCGCAGAGCTTCCCATGTAAATGTTTTCCCCCGCGTTCGGTCTCCATAAAACGTTCGAATACTTGAATTGACACTTAGCAGCGTGAACAATTGCGTACTTTTCAATTTTGCAGTCATACGTCTGCAATAATGGTTGTGAATCTTTGCGAATTTCCTGAATGATAATAATACCAGCATAGGCATGGCCGCCGCTTGTGGTGCATAACCTCCAAGTCCGTCTTTAGCTTTCCCAGAAGCTACCAGTGCTCTTTAGAAACAAGTTTACACAAGATGCGAAGAGGAATTGAATCGCAAATGTTTGTTTTTTCTTGTACACCACTTACCTCAACTCATTATGAACGTCCAAAAATTTTTGACGTATGCTATCATTCATGCCATTGATGTCCGTCGGGCAAATTGCTTAAAATTCGGTTTTTGTCTGTCTAAGTGCTTTGAAAATGTAATGCATACCTGCATACGACGCTGTGACAATCGAAAGCTGGAAACATTTTTTTTACGTTTGAAGAAATTTAGGAAAGAGGCACTTACCACTACGAGGAGATACATTTTCAAGTGTAAAGCGTGGTATACGTATTGCCTTTTAACCGTTGGCCTAAACAACGTTCATCATCTTTCCGGATAGTACGAATGCTGTGTCATCCTAATCTGTGAAGCTATTTCAAAGAAACAATCGCAATTTTGATGACACAGCTGTTTTCTTTAACAAAAAACAAAAGCTGTGAGAAACAGTGAAAAGATAGTGAAAATAACGAAAATAAAAAAGTGCAATTTCGGTGGATTTAGCGTGAACTTTTCCTGTACCTTAGCGATCAAGAGATTTCTTGACGTCATCGACCTTATTGGACGTAGAACTGTACATGTTGTTTCTCATAATTTCGTGCTTTTACTTTCACGAAGATGTGGTCGAGCTTCGATACTCCAACTTCCAAAAGGAAGCTCTTTGGGTACGAAAAGCATTTGGTCAAAAAGAATTGCACACACGCCATTGTCCCACAGTCCCTTCGCGATCGCTGGAGTTGAATGTTGAACTTGAATTGCAGCAATTGAAAAACTCTACGAAGACACTAGCGCAAGACACCAGCACGATTTGTGGAGCTTTAATGAGCTACTCGCAGAATTTTGACATTCATAAAAATCAGGAAACTTTGAACATATTCAAACGCATGATTGGCCGAAGTAGGCTCAAAAAATGCAATCTCTCTGATTTTTCAAATCACTTATAATTCTTGAAAAATGTACCAAGCTATGTAGTGGTAGCCCTCAAGTCTTCAAAAGTTTTGAGTAGCAGCGTTTGCAGGAATAGATTTCCAATTTTGACTTTTCACGTGGCTCACCTATGCTATCATTTATACTATCCGTGATTGTGGGAATGGCAATCATTGATTGAGGGTAATGTAAGTGGATGATATAACAGGCTCACAAAGATTTTAACGAATGATTATGCTTCTCAAAACTATAGCTCGTGCACGCCCAAAATCTGTGTCGGCTAGCACATTTCAACATTAGCAGCTGAAGCGAAATGACGCGATTCTTTGTTTGTTATCTTGCTTTTTCAGGTGATTTTCAATATTCTGCTTGTGACAAAATCATTTTGATACTCTTTTTGATAGAAAGTTTGATGTATAGGCTACTGCCAAGCTTTGGCTATGGCGCAAAAGCAACATTAGTTGAGCGGGCGCGAACGATTCGAGCGCATATCGTTACCCTTGTAAATCCATTTGAAGCGCTGACACACATGTAAAGACATATGCGATTTTGTTTTAGGGACTATAGTTGGCACCGAATACTCGTGCGAGTAATTTATTCGAAATATTCGACTATTCGAATATTCGAGTAGTCGAATATTCGAAAAAGCCCATTTATTCGATTATTCGAATAGTCGAATAAATGGGAAGGCCTATATTCGAATAATTCGTTCACTCGACAATTTCGAAACATGACTTATTCGAATATTCGTTTACTCGAGGAATTTTTTAAAAAGGTTATTCTATTATTCGTTTATTCGAGTAGTTTTGAAAGATGGTTATTCGAATATTCGGATATTCGAATATTGCATTCAGATATTCGAATAATATTCGAACATTTATTCGAAATCAGTCGAATATTCTATCAACTTCAATTATTCACGTACTCGTTCATTCAAATTTTGAAATGTGCCAATATTCGAATATTCAAATTCGAATAAAACGAAAATCGAAAGTCGAATAATATTCGTTCATTCGAAGATTTTTGAAAACCAAGTATTTGATATTCATTCGTTCGAAAAAATTTCAAAAACTGATTATTCAATATTCGTTCATTCGGCGAACATTTCTGTTCGTTACAACTATAGAAGGGACTGCTTGAAGGCACCGTCCGCCCAGATTCTCGACTTCCAGGATTCTATAGTTCCAGGGCCTTCTCACGTCCCTGATTCCAAATATGAAGTCGAGAACCCGCGAAAATCCCATTCCGACAATCCCCATTTCGGAGAACCCACAAACCGGCTTTCTAGAACAGTGATTGGATGAGCGCGCACAAATGGGCGGGCATGGATGGGGTCCTCGAGCATCTTCGCTATTCCGAAGCGATTTTCTCGCATCCGAAGCGGCATATTGCGCCGCGAATTGGGCATTAACTTGATAGGAGACCCTACTGTTATATGCTGCCGAAAGGTCAACAACCTCAACTTGGGGTGGACGGTGCCTTTACGAAAGGTATGACTGCTACATTATGATATGCTTCATAATATTAACAGCTATTTTTCAAATCCTCATATGCCGCTGTTAAGCATAAATGCTGCGGTTGTACTTTGTTTCTTTAGCATCGCTCCTTTTTCCTTTCATAAACATGTTAAAGAACTAGTAACAGCATTTATGCACTTGTTTGCAACAGGCATTCAAAGTTCAGGGATTTATGCGCAACTAGCTGGCTTACCCGGCTCCGCCGTATGTTCCGAATAGAAAGTTCCATTTCTTAACCGATCCGGACCAAACTTGGCACACATACACTTCGGGCCCCGGCGGGTGTCATAGGCTACTTTTCGTCATCGATCGATGTCGATTTTATCGATTTTTTGCAAAATTTGAGCTAGGGGGCTGGAATTTGGCAGAGGGGTGTAATCGAGCATGCTGATCACCCCCACGGGGCGCGTAGTGTATGTGTGCCAAGTTTGGTCCGGATCGGTTCAGAAATGGAATTTTCTATTCGGAACATACGTACAGACAGACATACAGACAGACAGACATACAGACAGACAAACAGATATTCAGCTTTATATATAAGATAACCATCGCACTTTAGTTTGTGCTGAAGTTCCACAACACCTCACAAACATCCGACATTATTCAAATGGTCCTGCATTTGCTTTTCCATGCTTTGCAAAGTATTTGCAAAGTTTTTTATTTCATTAGGTCGAGAAAGCTCTTGCCGTTTCTGACCCCCATGAAAAACATGCGCGGAAAATAGAGGCGAAAGAGACATTAACCATTCTACGCAGCTTTTCTTCACCTTTTCAGTGAAGAATATTAGGTCGAAAAATAGGTTTCAACTTTTTCTTTTAACTTTTGTCTTGGATATGGCGCAATCATTTTTTGGCATTACAAAGGTTGCCATATAAGTTCAAACAATCATATTCTAAATACGAATATCGTATTCAGTTGCTGTGAGATTGATTTTTCAATTTCAGAGCGATTGAATACGATATTCGTAATTGGAATGTCATAATACCCCGCTATGCACAGTTTCGTCAGAATCTGACGGTTTGAGTTTCTGGCAACACCTAGATTTTGAAGGCGACCATAAGGCGTTTGACTCATTCGACTTCCTGAGAGCCTCAGATTTCGATTTGTCTTCAACTTACAGATCTTTTTTCGCTGAGCTTTGTAGCCAACCTCTTATGAAATTTTGCCTACGGTTCCGGCTCATTTCAGACTCGTTTTGTGTACGGCCTCATTTTTGTTGAAGAAACTAAAACATTGAGTTGACCACTTAAGAAAAAACTGAGGTTTTCCATTCTATCATTCAAATAATGCACAGATTTGTAGCACACTTCTTGGTTTGTGTTGCAAAATGCGAAACTTTGGATGTCACTTATTTATAAAGAAAAAGTTGTGTACAAAGTTGCAGATATGGGCGAACCTAATAGTATCAGGTAGTCTCATAAGTTTTGGCAATTTTGAAATTTTACGGCATTAAGT